CCCAACACAACAGTTGCAGTAGGTGGAATAAAAAATCTGTAAAATACTGTTGAATAAAAAAGATCTGTAAAGACATACTGTTAATAACATATCAGTTTCTTCACAAGGAGAAATATTGTCGTTTGATAGCAACGTAGGAGAATTAGATATGCGCTATAGCGTCATCTAGGCGGGACATTGAAACCTTAGTTAATGCTAAAACTTACCGTTCCACACCTAGTTATTTTACTACGTTTTACCTCCAAACCTAACGGCAATCTATGATTATGGGCATCCTTTAAATCTCTGAAGCTGTTTTTAGAGTAGTAAATAACATGGATTATTGATATAGAAAAGGTGTTGCAAACTTTGACTAAAAATGAACTTGTCTGAAAATCTCAGTTTTTATAAATATTATTGATACATTATAAATATTGATAAATATTTTGTAGCAATAATGGCATCAAGCGACGTACAACTTCTATAATTGCGCGTTTCGCACAAGAGGGTTGAAAACTTAACGGATGCTCCAATAAAAACCAATCAAAATTTTGTTTGCATCAAATTCTGCAATTCAAAGAAAGGCAATGGGCAGCATTTTGAAGGTGTTTGTCAGATTTCTCACTATACATCGCACACTTGGCTTTTTTAACCTAATACCGCATCCTACAATTTTGTAGAAAAATTGCAGAATATGATATTTTTGCAGTATCATAGGCCAATGCTTGAAGATGCAGCAAATATTGTTCACTCTCTTCACATGTGCTCTCTTAAATTAGGCAGTAAGAACAGTCACGCGCATTGCCATCGAAAATCACTTTTTTTTCAATTCGATGGACGATCGCAGTTCACACAGTGTATAGAGACATTGATGTAGCCTTTTATAGCATTTCCCCTAGAATTTTTAATTTCAATGGCGAAGACTAGGTGAGCAACCCTTAAACCCTTAGTTTGTTCTATGACACAAGGATTGAATATCGTCATAAGTTAGGACAGTAGACTTAAAAACTGCTGTAGAACTGAAATATAAGATTTTTAGACCTCAAATAATCCCATTTACAGACTTCGATGGAGATGATCACCTTGGGCATGATGATTTGAGTAAAATGATTCGAAGTTTGACGAGAGATGAGCTGACTGATGAAGAAGTAGAATTCATAATTGAAAGGGTGAGTACTACACTTTCGAGTTTCAGTTCAAAAAGATCATAGTTACTGTAGATCATCGAAGAAGCCGATCTCGACGGTGATGATCGAATCAACTACGCCGAATTCGAGCACGTCGTCTCGCGATCGCCCGATTTCATTCGAACATTCCATAT